TGAGGCATAAATAATTTATTTGGGGTTAGAGCAAAACTGCTTTCTAAACATGGCGCTGTTATGTAAACTGTGTAGTAAAAGAGTCTCGAGGAAAATCATAATGCAGCATAATGCACAATGATACAGATATTAGTAGCTACCATGATCTCAAGTGGCTTTTTAGCTACCCTTGATCCTGGGTGACACCAGTGGCAGCCCTGCAGATCATTGTCTATGTCTGACTAAAATGTCCAATATGTTTTTGAAAAAGCTTGCAAAACGCATACTTCATTATTACAAATGTGTAATTACAAATATATTTAAATACATAAAATGACAAAAGTATATTATAGTTTACTATAAATGCTTGTCAGTATATGCAGCAACACACATTAACCATAAAATTATGAAATTACAGAGATGTACTATATAGAGATGTCACTTAAGTCCTACTTAACTGGGTCGAAAACACTCTTAAATTCAACTAATTGCATTTAATATAAATGTAAATTATATTACATTTGAATTTAGTTTTAAATAACATGCAATGCAGTGTCTGAAAACAGTATATTCAATCCGCATTTAAAATATATTAAGAACTTTTTTTGTATGTTTGCTAAAGTGTACTTATTTTTCACAAGGGACTCTCTGAATGAAGCGAATCTCATAAAATATCCAATGATGTAAACGTCTGCGGTGGACTGTAAGATCATGCTTTAGGCAGTATGTAATGCACCACACAGGCAACTGTCTCACATGGCTGAGGACACAATACTTCCTTTCTCTGGTCTGTCAGTGAGAGGAGAAATAACCATGATGTCATTCCCGTCAGCACTGTATTCCTCTTTTTTACATGGCTGATTTGTATACAGTAACAGAGGGAGAGTGATTTCCTCTGCCAAACAAATGCTGCGGCTCTCTGTGCTACTGAGACTGGCTGTGTTGGTCAATAACAAGTTACACTGTCACATACTTAAGTTTTACCACTCAGGACACAGCTGGTAAGGATCAGAGGCTGCAGAACACAATCGATGTGGAGGGGGATGGTGTCTGTAGAAAAAACATCTCAGCCTCTGCTGAATTCTTTAACTGCTGACAGGAGTCTCCTAACACAGGGTCAGTTGTCTCTCCACAGCCGGGTCAGATTACACTTATCTTCACAGCGCTTGTGCATTCAACTGGTTGAAATACTCCATAGCTATCGCTGTGACAGGCATGCACATTAGCACAGCAACAACACATTGTGCAAATCTGCTAACTCAGATTTTCTTGTAGCCTTACAGGGTTATGAGAACAACTTGTGCAACAATCAGTACTTTAAAGTGATGCAAGAAATGGAATTTTTTATTAAAACACAGAAACGGTCAATACAATTTTAAAGTAGCCAAAAACCGAAACTGACAATAAACTCTATTTAATAATCAATTAATCAACTTTATTTAATAATCAGCTAAGTTGTATAAAAGCGGTTAAATTGCACATAAGGCCGTATTTATGTCAACTTTTAATATAAATATGTTTTGATTCCAATTAGATGTTTCAATATAAAATTTAAACAGTGCTTGTAATAAAACTTTCTTGACATATTTATTCAAATATACATTAAATAATGAAGTAGGGCTGGGTATTGTTAAAATTCTTTTAACATCGATACAGATACTTTGACTTCGATACCGATTCCTGAACGATACTTTTTCAATACCAATTTTATGAAATCCGTTTTAACAAGATTACATTACACGTCACCTCAAAAAACGTTGGTTTTATTGTTTCAGCTTGTTGACAGACTTAAAGACTCATCTCCTGAGCCACTACACAAAGGAACAAAATGTAACCAACAACACAATAAATCAGTGCAAATAGTTTTAATACATGAGAAATGTTTGCATGAGAAATGCTAAGCAGGTGTAGCAATTAGCTTGATATAAAAGGCTACAAATAGCATATTTCAGCAACATTATATGACCAAAACACACATTAGATCGCAATCGCCAGCACTTGATTTAGGCACATAAAGCATGCAGCATGCTTATTGGCTCACTGACGTTGATGAAATTAACCCCTTAGGTATCGAAATTTGGTACTGAACGACAAGATATTTTTCGATACTCAGTGGTATTGAAGCAATTAGATCGGTGACTAAAAAGTATTAAACTCGATACCCAGCGCTATAATGAAGACAGTAAAAATAAAAGAAGAAATGTAATATAGTGCATAGATTTAGCAAGATGCTCCTCTATTCAGTTGTGTAACCTTTGCTGCAGTGTTCAGTTAAGATTAGTGGTCAATATCTTTTCAATATTCACTGTCGTCTTTGGCAATGCTGTTGAGCGGACCACTCATCTGACTATTATGTCTTTCGTTTCACACCACAGACACACTCCCTTGTTTCATACAAACACAACTGCTGCCAAATGTGATCAACTAGTGAAAATTACCTCAGACGATTGATTCAATGTTTGTCTTGTTGCTAGGCTGATTGTTATGAACAATTATTTTGTAGCAGAAACTTTATAAAACTAACCGAAAGGGTTAGGGTGATGTTAAGCAGATCACCCTTTTGGTTTATTTTGCAATAATGACCGGCTGACTGTACATTATCCTGCTTAATATCTGACTTGCTTAGCACAAATGTAAATAATTGGAAATGAAATGCTAATATGAGTTGAAAATATTATATTATGTGAAAAGAAAGATCTGGGGGAGCACAGATATTTAGGAAATTGATTACCCCAGAAGGATGCAAATAACCAGTCGCAAATCAAGTATTCAACAAAGCCAATGAAGACAAATTAAACATTTCTTTTGAATTCTGAAAATTTGTTATCTTAAAATGACAGAATATTTGCTGATGAATCAATCTGGTCATAATGTATTACATTAAGTAAAACCCTTGATTTCTGAGACCTTTTTGGGGCCGAGATGACCCACGGATCAGTTATTGTTGGGTACTTTCCTTATGAATGAACTCCATTCAGAGGTCAGTGATATTCTGACCAAGAGGCTGTGTAAGACAAATATTTTTTTCCCCTTGGACTAACATAGGAGTTTCCCATGTTCGACTTCTTCCCATCTCTCTCTGGTCTCTCGGGATGAAGGGGGAGGGGATGATGTCATGATCAGGAGGGGGTGGGGGTGAAAAGGTTGCTTAGCACAAATGTAAATAATTGGAAATGAAATGCTAATATGAGTTGAAAATATTATATTATGTGAAAAGAAAGATCTGGGGGAGCACAGATATTTAGGAAATTGATTACCCCAGAAGGATGCAAATAACCAGTCGCAAATCAAGTATTCAACAAAGCCAATGAAGACAAATTAAACATTTCTTTTGAATTCTGAAAATTTGTTATCTTAAAATGACAGAATATTTGCTGATGAATCAATCTGGTCATAATGTATTACATTAAGTAAAACCCTTGATTTCTGAGACCTTTTTGGGGCCGAGATGACCCACGGATCAGTTATTGTTGGGTACTTTCCTTATGAATGAACTCCATTCAGAGGTCAGTGATATTCTGACCAAGAGGCTGTGTAAAACAAATATTTTTTTCCCCTTGGACTAACATAGGAGTTTCCCATGTTCGACTTCTTCCCATCGCTCTCTGGTCTCTCGGGATGAAGGGGGAGGGGATGATGTCATGGTCAGGAGGGGGTGGGGGTGAAAAGGGTTGATGGAGGATCTGAATGTTTGTAAGATCCCTGCACCATTTCCTGCTCTCTAAAGCACTGGCCTCATTTCTCATCCAATGAGAGCAACGTCTCCCAGATCTGTCAGGGGAAGGACGGAAAACAGCTCCACACCTTCTCATCAGCTGCTGTGGCTTGTGAAATTGGGTTTGGAGGAACACTGGCGCTTCCTCTCTCCCTGTTATCCATCTGAGCTTCTCCAGCCATGTGCTCATGCAAAACAACAGCTGAGAAACGGAGAGAATTATTACAGTTGTAGACAACAAATATCAGAAATGAAATTAATATAAGGAAATTCTGATCGCCTGGTGCGTCAAAACTGAGTCACTCCCATTAAAATCTAGTGCCTGATGTACTATACAGCTTGCAGAATCGTTATTCTTTTCTGATAGCAGATATTTAAATTAGGATGAGCATTAATTAAATGAGCATTTCTGTTGTCGCATACCCAGTTCTAATGGAGGATGCAGATGTTCTGCTTCTCAAAATGTTCTTCTGAAAGAAAAAGACCCTAGTTATCTCCTTTAGACTTTACAGATCTCAACAATTTCTCAATCTATGTTCAGATTTGCTGAGACAAAAGTGAGAGATTTCATTATAAATTTATATAACTCGTATTATATATAAACTTAATATAAAATTCTTATCAGATTTATCCAAGATCATTTTTTGAGCTCTGCTAGTTTAATTTATAGCTCTATACTCTTTTAACATTTTGAAAAGGCTTACTTGAAAAAGGGGGTGGCTAACACATGGCTATATAGGACTACAGAAATTCAAAAGCTTAGTGAAGGTGACATTAAAGTCATGTGATCTTGCTGTAGTTTGTTTTTAGCCTATGTTTAGCTTTTTATTTCTGGTGATTGTATTTAGGCTTCAAAATTCATAAAAGTTCATTTGTAAAGATTATCATGATGAACAAAATGTGTAAAAACCGTAAACTTTTGTTTGAGCTTATTTTCTCCAATAATCCAATGGTTATGCAATTGGGTTTTTGTCAAGGGAACCAGGGTGATGCTAACTTATGGGCTGACCTACAAAAATATGTCATCAATGCAGCACTTGATTAGCGTCAAGTTCATCTGCGAGATGACCGTACAGAGAACACACGCTTATAAAAACCAGGCTTTGCACAGTATGTGCATACCGTGCTGCTGATGAAATTATTACGCCACATGCACTGCATGTATACCCTAGCACATACACGAAAATGTAAGTATTTTGTGGGCTTAATGAGACCGGCAGTTAGTCTTGAGCTATGAAAGCAGAACTTCTGCCTCTGAGCAGAAAAAAATTATTTTGGGAAGAAGGAGAATAATAAAAAGGAAGTGATGGTGACAGATGATGATAAGCAAGGAAAATACTGTTTGGTCAGTTTGGCCTTCGCCTGTTCAGATATCAGCTTAGCAGCAGCAGCATCCTGGAGATAAGAGGAGAGTGAAAGAGACACATAGTAATGAACACCTCCTTATCGTGCAGCTGGCTTGGTCCACTCGCGGTCGAACCGCTTCATTGTCATCTATGTGAGGAGTGCACATGCATAATCAGCCATGTGCTGCATTCACATGTCAAACAGCCACAGAGCAAGAAAAAGCCCCGGTTTAAAAACCAGATCCTACGCTGAGATGAAACTCTAGAGGAGGCACATTAGAGATAACTAGGGTCTCTTTTCTAGAATAAAACATTGAGAAGCAGTAGACTTAAGCTAAAGTCTCCATTTACTTGCCCTACTTTTATCTCATTGAATATCCTTTTTTAATAAGAAATGCATCACATTACAAGTAAAATGGTTTGCAAATGCTGTTTTATGTTGACTCTGTTACTCACTTGTGAGTTTCAAAGGCAGGATTTGTAAAATAGTCAAGAGCGACATATGGCTGGAAGCAGCATTTAAAGTGTCAATCCATTTAAAAATGTAGTGAGCTGTGTTAATGGGTGTCTTTCAACACAACAGTATTTGGTGCCCTTGGACTGTCTTCATATGGCTCATCTATGTGTGCTAATAGGTTAACCAAAGGGCAGTTTGCTTTTTCTAAGCAGGGCAAGGTTGAATTTATAGTGTGAATGTGCCCGGGCAGCTGTTCTGCAGATGCAACCAGATACAGATCTGGAGGGAAGTCATTTAAAACGACTGTTTGCACAGCAGAGAGGCGGAGCAATCCTGAAAAGCAGGATCAGAGAGGAGCGACACACACAATCAAACCCAAAGACAAACAAATTCCACAGAGTCATTTACATATCTGACCAAGTTCTGCTGACAAACAGTCATGGTCACATGCAAATGAGACATTATTAGTCTTTGATGGGTCATTACACTCCTTTGATTTCTGGGTTTGGTCAGATATGGCAGCTTGTTCCACATCAGGCTGTGGTGAGAGAGGCGGCCAACTAAGCATCTACACACACACACACACACACACACACACACACACTGCAGTGCTTCACTGCCCCTTTCCCTGTGGATCTAGAGGTGTCTATCTCCTTTTGCATGTAAAAGCAACAACAGGCCGTGACATTGTCAGACAAAGGCAGGTGGGTGTCGTCCAGACAGAATGGAGGGAGGAGTAAATGCAAATAATCTGGACCAACAGACACTTTCGGAGCTCTGATAATTAAAGCTTTTGTGTGACAGTACAGACGTGCAATTACCATAAAACCCTGGGCCTGTGGTTTAGAAACATAGTTTATATTATATCATGAATGGGGACATTGATTTATTTCCTGCTTTTCTGTTTGTCCATAGAAAGACTGTTACTGTATAAAAACTCCTATTATAGTTACATAAAAAAACAAAAGCTGTGGTTGCTTTAATGATGGTGTTTTTACAGTTAATGGAGTGTATTTTACAGTTAATAACTCTATATGTCTTTGATATAATTTTAATATACAATCCAAAATGGTATTGATGTATAAAAATGTTTACAGTTCATTAAAGTATTTTTTTCAGGAACTGTGGCAAAACACCATTGGAATAACTTACATAACACTTATAATGCAATAAACATTGAAACTAAAATTCAAAATTGCATAACTAATAAAAAAATAGGAAGAAAATAAAATGATATGGGTCACACATAGACGTCTGCCCTATTATTGTTTGTCAGTAAATAGTCAATACGTCAAAAAATAGTGAATATTTCTTACTTATAAAATGGTAGTTTTAATAATATTATATATAGTACATTGTACTAGTACATAACCTATATATTCTAATTATAATTTTCACCTTTTTTCACCATGTACTGTAGGATAATGTAGTGTAACATATTCACTGATATTTTTTGTTGTTGTTGTAAAATAATGTTTTTAATGCGCATGTCCAATATAAAGCAACAGCAAACACAATTTTATCATCCCACAGCACAACATTTTGGGGAAAGTAGCTTGTACTGGAAAAGCTGAAATGAAAACAACTGCGAACTACTGTAACGCTACTGAAAAGGTAGTTAAGGTAGTAGTTTTGCTGCTTTTAGTTAGTTTCTTCCACAACATTGATGGATAAACAAAGATGTTTATAGCTCCTGGCAATGAGAATAGGAAAAAAGACTGATGAAACAAGGCAGAGAGGCTTTTGGTGAAATAAAGAAAAGGAAAGAATGAGAAATGGAGGGATCTGATATGAATTAGAGCGTGGTGTTGGTACAGAGGAGCATTGTGGGTACCCAGCTGCAGCTTGGCTGTGGTTCAGACACACAGAGAGGAGAAAACCCTCCCTCACAAACAGGGACTGTGTTTCTCCTCCTAGCCCTTCACAATCCCCATTTACCCCATTCAGTGACTGCTGCCCTCTCTTTCCTCATTCCTCTCACACAAACCTACATCCTTCCTTAATATGTGCCCTATAGAAACATACAAACATCGTCAGTAATGACAAACTCTCTTGTGTTGCTAAAATGGTCCAAGCCCCAACATGTGTGTATGTGTGGTAGAGACGGGTTTGGATTATCTGTCTTTGTTTAACCCAACACCGATAATTGGCTCCTTAAGAGGTTAGTGCAGCTTTACGATCAAGCACTTTTAATGAGCTTTCCTCTACCTTCAGGGAGACATGAATCATAGACTTATGAACTAACCATCTTCAATACTTTTCACTGGCAAAGCTAAAACATATAAAATTATAATTACTACAACATGCAGTATCAGTATTTAGCAGAACAGTTCTCTGTATTCTTCAGCATTGAATGCAATACGTTTATTACCATTTCTGTAATATTTCAATATAATACATATACATTCTCTTGCCTATTATTTTTCACTAAGCTCGTCTTTGTAGGCAGCTCACGGAGTACCTTTTTTTTCAAAGGATATTTTTAATGCTCCCCTCATAAAAACTGTTGTGGTTGTTTTAGGTGGCTAAAGACGTGTCCATCCGTCTGCACAATGAGCTGGACGCTGTGGAGAAGAAGAGATCTCGTCTGGAGCAGGAGAACGAGGAGCTGAGGGTGAAACTACAGGATCTGGAGGTGGCCAAGCAGGTCCTGCAAGCGGAGATGGAGAAGGCCAGAGAGGTGAGAGATAACGGATCATTCCAGAAGCTTTCAGGATGCTGAGTAGCTAGCAAATGGTAGATATATATGACACATCTCAAATTTGTGGGAAACACAATGAGCTGCTGTGAATTTTACCACAGGAAAGAAGTGTGGTGTGCATTATGAAACCAAAGAAAAGATTCTGCTAGGGTGGTCTGGGTGCTGCCAGAGAATTGCTATGTGGTTGATAAAGTGAATCTGTGTGGTTGTTAAAGCCTTGTTATAAAACGGATAGTTCCGGTCCTTGATTCTGATTGGTTGAGCCAAGTTCGAAGCTGTTGTAAATTACTCTACAAACATACACCTTTGTTTACATTTGTGTGTTGTTCAGCAACCACTTTGTTGGAACCACAACCGTTTCTGAGGAACTACATTGTTTGGTGGAAGAATACTGTTTTTATCTATCTATCTATCTGTTATGAATCTATCTGTATTGATTAGTAAAGAATTTAAATGACAAGTCCACAAGTGGTGGCCACAAGTTGGCCATTTGGAGCTGGAACTATCCGTTTTTGGTAATTTTAGCTGCAATGATGGAAATTAGTGTGAGTTTCGTAAGAAGTTGCTAATTGGGGAAAATAGGATCATTAATTAGTTTCAGATTCTCCGAAAAGGCTTCATTAGGAGCCCCAAATAAGGTTTCTGAAAAGAAAAGTGTTTATATTGTACTTGATTTGGCTTGGGGCAGAACTCTTAATGTTGACACTTTCGTTTAACTTCGCTGTAGTCAAAGCTCTATGTGTGTTACGGCAGGAGCTGAGGGCCCTTCGCTCGGACTGATCTGTTGACTCTCTCTGTGTAAATGTCAGCTCGGGTGGGTGGGTTTGAGGGTGGACGGGGAGCACATGAATTTAGCATTAGATTTTCTCTACTGACAGTTTAACGAGGAGGAACAAAAAGCATGCTACTTGTGTTTGGTTAATTCTCTGTTTTGGCCTGCATTCTTTTGGTAATAAATGTTCCTTTGTGTTCTGAGTAATGGATCATTGGCAGGATGGTCTATGTCGGCTCAATGGTTGGTCTGTGCTCTATTAGCTATGTCTGCTGCATGATAGAAAGTGATGAATGCATTATTGTATGAAGCAACGGTCATTATTGGTCGGTTCACTCTTTTCTTTGAGAATCATTTTACGGGGTGTTGTATACCGCTGTGATAGTCAATGCCAGCGCTCTGATTCGCTCGGCTGCTCTGCTTTGGGTCGGCTCACAGGTTTGCTCTGTGTTCTTATTGGCTGAAAGCCCAGGGCAGGATGCGTGCCGCTCTCTGTTGTTGAGGACTGAATTCTTGGCATAGCGGGCACTTATGGTACACAGCGAGAGTTCATCCTCAACTGAACTTCCAGAAAAGAGCCAGTAGAGCCTTTCAGACAACAGATGACTCAAAGAATGGAAAGAAACGATGGATCATTACATGTAAAAGAAGATGATCTGGCTGAGCACAATATCTCACTCTGACATACACTCAGTTAACAAAGTACAGGATGAAAGAGATGTATAAACAGTTATTAGAACAAAAACTCAATTCTAATGGGTCAGTCGTGGAATTCTGCAGTAAAATAGGCCTATTTTTGTATAATGATAGCTAAACTGTATTTGTAATTGATTTCATAAATAGCTGTGCTAGTTTTATGTCTTTTTCTGTATATTATAACTTATTAATTATTGCTAATTTCTTTAATAACAAGTTCCTGATAAGGACGGTCTGTACATTTTCTTTGACTTCTATAGACAAAATGTATCTGTTCTATCGTTACAAACATGGATCAGCACCAATTAGGTGCACAAAAACGAAACTGGAAGAAATGCAACAGTAAAAACGTCCTTACCTGGTTAACTGTACGTTATCATACTGTAGGGTGAAAAATGTTAAGTTGTTTAGCATTGCATTATATGATATTTCACTGTAAAATACTAAGAAATTTAATTCCCAGAATTCCTTGCATGAAACATCTCATTTTATTTTATTTTTTATTTTATTTCAATTGAATTTTATTGAATTTTATTTTTTTCTTATTTTTCATTTAGTTATTTATTAGGGTGTTTTGTGTTATATTTTCTGTTGTATCACCATATTTTATAGGCTACTTGATTAACTTGATTAACTTCTGTATTATTATGGTTATTATAGTTCAAGTAGAAGTAGTTTCTACTGGTGATTAGATAGTTCAAGATGTTTTTTACTGTACATTTAAAAGAATATTTGTTTTAAGTGGATGTAAAGTTACATCTGATGATGCATGTGCTAAATTATTAAACTAAACAAATGTCAGTGGTGAAAACCATAAGGAAGAATGGACAGAAAAAAAACTTGCAGCAATGTCTAATTTATTTCCCAACCATGATCACTAATCGCTTTATTTTAAAAGAGACTTCTCAGACTTTTAGTAGGTCAGTGAGAACAGAGGACAGAGTCTGCATGAGGACCACGCTGATGTCCTCAGATCACCATCAAAGACCTCCCTTCCTGACACAAAAATAAACACTCAAAATGAAAGCTTGCTGATATAGGTTTTTTTGAACCTAGATAGCACCCCACCCAAAAATCTTAATTTTTTCCATCCCACAAATGCTTTAGTTCTCCTTCTATGCTCTCCATCCCTCATTCTGAAACTCTCTCTCAAGACTTCATTTAACACACAGCGGGTATCGATCGGTACTGCAGCTGGCGTGAAGTCTCATGGGTGATTAGGTTCACATGTCTACTGCTGCTGTGAGTGTAAGAGGTGTGTGTTTGTGTGTGTTTATGGCTTCTGATGGTGGTCGCTATGTGGAGGGGCTGTTTTATAGGGCCTGTTTTACAGGTGTTTAATAGGCTTCGGTACAGTAAAAGGTTAGTATAAGAGTGCAACCTTATTACTGTTGTTTCTTTCTCCAAATACACATTCATACCAATAGCTCATTTGTTAATGTATCATTTAGAGCCCAATGTGTCTCAAAAACAGCATGTATTAGTGGCATACTGGTATTATCCATAGACAGCTTATTTGTTGATCCAGAGCCCTTCTAGACTGTGCTAGAGGAAACAGTCCTATGAGGCTGACTGAACTTTTATTTATATTTTTCAGGAAGCTCCTATCTTTGTTTTGTTCTGAAGGGGAAACCCTGAGAAAGGAAGGAAGTGCAGGGTCTCTGAAGCAGGGTTCATTAACTCAGCATCAGCCGCTCTGATGGAAACAAACACTAGATGAGGAAAAATTACAGCTGGACAGTCAGCGGAGTCATGCGTCAGGGCTATTTAATCTTTAAAACCCCCTTGTTGGGAAAAGCACAGGAAGATTTTGAGGAATTCTGAGCAATCCAGAATATTCAGAGTTTGCCGAAAACTCCCTGAAAGTTTGAGGGGTGATGTGGGATTTAGCAGGTGGTCATGTAACTGTTTTTTCAGAAGTAGAGTAATGAAACGCTGACTCAGACTATTTGATGATTACGAGAACAGTCATAAGTCAGTAAGCACAGTGCTGTGAGCTTTTATAAGAAATCATTTCCAGATATATATGAGTCTTGACATTTCAAGACAAATTGATGTACTTTTCTCTTACAGTGGTGGTACCATGGTACTGAATGATCTCTATGTTCATGTACAATGGTGTTTACATGGTACATGATACTCTGTACCTTGAAGATACTAATGGTACATATGTGGTCCAATAACCCTAGTAGAATGTCCTGTACCAGGATACTTTGTAGTACTTGTTTGCGTGGTTATAGTGGTGCATTTCAAATTGCCCTTTTCTGTCTATTCTAATACTATTCAATTAATTAGATTCATGAATGCACAATGCACACAGTCATAATAAAGTGAGTGTTCTCAGACTATATTTACAATATCCAGTTTTCTTTGTATCCAGTATTTACATTGCTATAAATAACACAAAGAAGAGAGTTAAATAGAGGCTCAGTAGCTCCAGGGTTGTGAGGTTTTGAGTCTGGGAAGGTTTGGCAGCTGTGTTTGCTGTGTTTCTCTGTATTGTACGGTGTCTGACCTGTGTAGCAGCATCAAAGCACATGGCATTCGAGGTTTTGTACTGGTTTGGAACATGATGGGAAATATAGAGAATCAAAGCAAGTGAGAAATACACACATATACACTCACACACGTGTGACCTGGATATGTTTATTTTCTCAAAAACCAAGAAGTCCCTTGTGAAAAAGGAGTACACTTTAGCATACTTTTAAAAGAGTACTTTTTACAGAAATGATATGTTTTAAAATATTTTTAAGTGTTAACAGGCTGTTTTTGATGCATAATTGCATGTTAATTGCTATAAAATTAAAATACATTATTATAAATGCAGTTAGTTGAACTTTAGAGTGCTGTTTTGACCTACTTCATACTTCATAAGTACTTATATTGTAAAGTGTGCTGCCAAATGTACTGACAAGCGTTTATAATAAACTAAAAATACTTTAAATGTAATTTCTCTATGAATCTTGTAATTATGCAGTTTTAATGAAGTTGCAATTTAATAAATTTCAACTTTATATGTGATATCGATTAACACACTACCGTTGAAATTAAGTACTTAATGTGCTTTAGGTGTTAGTCAACTCATCAAAGCATACTTCTTTAAAACATAATGATTTATTTTAAAATGTACTTTAAAGTAAAGCTTCAAATCTGCAAGTACAGTTTTTTTTACACACTTTTAAGATTTGATGTACACTAAAATTACACGCAGTGAATACAATTAAGCGCACTTCTTTTTCACAAGGCGTATCATTCATGTCCTTAGAGTTTACTATACTTGGAGTTAGGGGTTTGTCCAAATATCTATTGAATGAGTATGAGCATGAGCAGTAATATTGAGGATTGCCTTAGCAAACACCAATGTTAATATTTTATGTGTACTATTCCTGCATTTCAGGAAGTGCAACCAACTCCTGGTTAAATCTGACACACATCCACATACAGATAACATTTTCTTTCCTCAGGGAGTGAGAGGTGATTTCATGCTCTAGTAAAGGTCTGCATGAAAAAC